TTCTTCAAACACAAATGCATCTTCAACCCCGAGGTCAGCCACCGAGCCACGCCATTGGTGTTGAACTCCTTGAGAAGACATTCATCACCTTCAAGCTTTCTGGAATTATTAAAGGGACCAACGGGGATGGACGCAGGCTTGGGTGCTCTGTTTGTCACGCTAACAGCATCAACTCCAGGGCCAGCGACATGGAACTCGCAGGTCGCCGGAGTCACCGCTTCGAACAACAACAGCCAAAGAACAAGCTAGTCGCCGGACTATTTCGTAGTTAACGGAAAAGTCAAGGAGAATCGGACATTTAAGCCAAAGCGGGAACAAAAACCACAAAACATAACGAAATGACCAAAAACTCCCAAACTTAACGCCTACTTGATGGAAAGGGTTACAGAGGACCAATTTGGGATAGTTTTTAAAAGTTAAGGGATCACATTGAGTGCAATTGAATGTCCGAATGCAAAATTGAGAATAAGCAATAGTCGAGGGACCATTTTGGGGAATAACTCAATATTGGTGGGCCAAAACCAACATCCTATTATTGAAATGTAACGTTGACAGTTACATAAGTATAATAAAATAAAGTTATTTTTTTTGTTGTTATTAGCTATAATTTAAACTCTGTAACTTATAAGATAATAATAAGTATTTGATCATGACATATATGAATTTACTTGGTACAAAACAGTATAATACGGAGTAGAAATTACAGGAATTATATAGAAAAAGGGGGTAAAAAATCAAATAGAAACAGGGATTTTTATTTTTATTTTCCTCTTCTTTTCGCTTGTATTCTGGGTTCAATATTTATTTTGCCCTAAATTACTGTAAATTCAGTCCAGTCGACGACGAAAGTCCCCAGAGCTCCACCGGGAATCAGCGAAGATGGCGTTTTCCTCAAATACTCTACGGGACCTGCAGTGTGACCTAGAAAGCAAGGCTAACGATCTCATCCGGCTACAAAAAGTCAATCTTCTCCATCTTTTTCTTCTAATAAACCATAGTCTCTGTCTTCTATGTTTGCTCAAATATGCGTTCTTCTGTGTTTCAGATATAGCCAAAAATCACCAAGTCAGAAAGAAGTACATCATTTAGCTCGGTGAAAACGAGATTGTCCTTAAGGTCGCTTGTGTTCTATGCTTCATGTATTGATAGTTTCTGGAACTTGGGATTATCGAACTATTAATCAGTGCATAGTATGTATAGTATTGTGCTTGTTGTTTTTTTTTTTTTTCTTTTTAAATGTGGGGAATTTTACGGCGGTGTGTGCGTGGGTGTGGAATGACGTGTGGATTTTTCCGGACCAGGAGCTGTTCACCATGAAGTGCTGGTTATTTCACTAATATTATGCATTTTGGTGTGTGCGTAAGTGTGTTACCTATTACGGGTGTGTGCGTAACGTATCCAAAAGAAAACAACTATACGAATATAATTTGCGTTTCGGCGTTTGAATTTCAAGTAGATAATCAATGCATAGTAGTTTTATTATTGTGCTTGTCGTTTTTTTTTTAATTGTGAGAAATTTTACGGTAGTGTGTGCGTAAGTGTGGAATGGCATGTGTGTTTTTCTAGACCAGGAGCTGTTCACCATGGCGTGTTTGTTTTCTTCCCAAAATTATTCATTTTAGTGTGTGCGTGAGCATAACGTATTCAAAAAATAACAACTATACTAATATAATTTGGGTTTCGGCGTTTGAATTTCAAGTAGTTAATCAGTGCATAGTAGCTATAGTATTGTGCATGTTGGTTTTAAAAAATAAATTGAGGAGAATTTTTATGGTGGTGTGTGCGTGGGTGTAGGATGGCGTGTGCGGTTTTTTTTTACCATAAGCTGTTCACCATGAGGTGCTGGCTATTTCTCCAGAATTATGCGTTTTGGTATGTGCGTTGAATAGTTATTGGCGTATGCGTAACGTACCCAAAAGAAAACGACTATACGAATATAATTTGAGTTTCGACGTTTAAATTTCAAGTACATAATCAGTGCATAGTAGCTATAGTATTATGCGTGTCAGGTTTTTGTTTTTTGTTTTTAAATAAAAATAAAAATTGTGCGTGTCAGGTTGAAGGAAGCCCAGTTGCCTTGTCCGGTGAGAAGGCAACCCATCGCCGACTTTTTTTTTTTTTTTTTTGCAAGGGGCTGCCTTCTCACCGGAGAAGGCAACCCAGGTAGAAGGCTACCAAGGTCGCCTTCTCCGGTCTCACCTTCTGTTTCTTTTTTTTAATTAGTAATTTGATTATTAAATAAAAATAAATAATAAATATTAATATTTGACTACATTTAATGAGGTGGTATAAATAGCACTTTTATATTTACATCATTTATATTAAATGGTATAAATAACCTCATTCACCCCAATTTGCAGATCTATCATAGGCACAAACCCAGAAATAAGTTATGCAAGGAACATCATTATGATGCTCATTTACTGTTTTTTTTTTTTTTTTTGAAACGATACTCATTTACTTTTGTTTTTGCATTGCTCAAGGAAAGCGCATGTATGCCACCTTTTCATCATGATACTCATTTACTTTTGTCTCTGCATTGCTCCAATGCATGTATGCCACCGTTTCTTCTAGTTAGAACGTGTCACCAAGAGGAAATGTAAGGGTGCATGCATTCATTTACATGAGGATGATATGTCACATCACTTTATTATAATCTGAGTCATTTTTCTATATCATCATGTTCATAGTCTCTTGCTGTTTTCTCAATTTTGGACAATATCTTTTCATGTGTAGGGGTAGGTGTTTCGATTTTTTTGGTTTCGATTTGGTTTGATTTTGAAAAAATGAAACTATTCAGTTTGATTTTGGTTCAGTTTGAAATAGTTCGATTTCAAATCGCATTTGATTCAGTTCAGATTTCGATTCAATTTGAGAACTTAAACATTTCCTAACTAGTTCTCTTGCACAAATAATTGTTTATTTATTTTCACTAATAATTTAAATTTAAAAATCTAAACAAGTTCACAATGCATATTGCAAATTTCTCAATTTAAAAGAAGTATAAACCTGCCCAACTTCTTCACTTGGGTCTGCATGCCATACGACGACAACGTCACAAACTCGAAGAAAAAAAAAAAAGAACAAAGAACAATTATGAAAATTTGAATTAAAAAATTGAGATTTAGTATATACATTTAGGTAAATTTGTAAATATAAAAGTATTTGAGTATAAATAAAATATATAATTATTTAATATTTTTTTTGAAGGTAAATGATCAAATATATTAAAGAAGGCTAGAGCCTAAAAAGCTTGGAAGGATTCTGACACCATATAGAGTGAGCCGTCCACGCACCATTTACTTTTGCAAGATCGTGAGCAATTTAATTATCATATCTACGAACATAATAAGTCTCACAGTCACTAATAGAATCTAAAAGTTGAATACAATTATAAATAATTAAGCCAGTATAGGACCAATCACTACTAAAATTGACTAAACTATTACAAAGAATTAAACACTATTGGTTTCTCGCACTCCAAATTGAATGAAGAACCCCCCACACGTTTTGCGCTGGACACACCATCTGTTACTCTTAACCACCTATCCACCCAATTAATGCATGAAATCCTCCCCTTCCTGTAGTGGAAACATAAGTTGTGACAGGTTCCATATTTGTGAAGCAAAAAGACAAGTTATGAACGCATGAATGAGCTCTTTCTTAGATTGGTGGCTGTAGGTAGAATGCGTACCAAGGCTCTACATTTAATGGCCCTTTCTGGTAAAATAGTTATCCTATCAGTTAATTTTGGCTTATTTGACCACTATTAATTGTTAAATTTGGTTAAAAAAATCAATATAAGTGTTTGGTTAATTAGCTTTTTGTATCTTCAAAATGTCAAAATTTAAAAAATTGCTCAAAACAACTTTTTCAATTAGCTTTTTAAGAAAAAAAAATTATACCAAATAGCTTAACAAGTAACAACTAATTTACCAAACACCTTTCTGCAATCAGCTAATGTTATCAACTAGTTATACTATACCGTCTAATTAACCCAATAAGCTAACAACTAACACCCATTTACTAAACAGGGCCAATATGTATATATATAAAATCATTTGGTTTTATTAACCCAATAAGCTAACAACTAACACCCATTTAATAAACAGGGCCAATATGTATATATATAAAATCATTTGGTTTTAAGTGAACTGAACCGAAACCATTCAGTTTATAAAATATAACATCAATGGGTTTTTAATAATAAACTAAAACTTAATTGTTCGGTTCGGTTCGATTGGGATAATCTGAACTGAAATGCCACCCCTATTCATCTCTTTATATTTGTAGCACGGAGTTTTCTTGCTATATCTAGACTTAGACGTAGAGTTTCTCTTTCTAAAATAATCTTCTCTTGCTTCCTTCACGATCTTGACTCCCCTTTCCATACAAATCGTCACCAACAAAGTTCTCTCTGCATTCTACCTGCGCTGATTATGAGCCGGCAGGGCTGCAGAGACCTCATTGAATTTAACTTAGGCCCTGTTTGGTAAAAAATTGGCCTATAGGCCAATTTTGGCTTATTTGACCACTATTAATTGTTTGATTTAGTTAAAATATCAATATAAATGTTTGGTTAATTAGCTTTTTGCAACTCCAAAAGGCTAAAATTAAAAAAGCTACTCCTAGCAACTTTTTCAATTAGCTTTTTGAGAAAAGAAATTATACCAAACAACTATCAGCTAACAGCTAATTTACCAAACACTTTTCTACAATCAGCTAATGTTATCAACTATTTATACCCTCTAATTAACACAATCAGCTAACAACAAACAGCTATCAGCTAACATCCATTTTACCAAACAGGGCCTTAACCTTTTTATTTTTTTATTGTTAAACTCACGAATGACTTAAACCATGAAGGTAATGTCAATGGATTGCTCTTGTTGAAGGTCAAACTTGTAGCCTTGTAATTACTAAATTAATTAAATATTTATTTTAAAATGTAGTGGCATCATTTAATTTACAAGCAATTCCAAGTAATGAATATAAAATACCTTTTGTGACACATATTGGTAGTTTATGATTGTTTTAATTTTTGCTCTAGTATGTTTAACGTAGGGTTCGACTGTTCTTATATTGACACTATAGCCGGTTGTAAGGTCCCGTAGAGAAAGAAATCAGGCAGCCCACCGTTAGGGGTGTTCAATCGGTTAACCGTTCGGTTAACCGAACCGTTTTAACCGAACCGAATTAACCGAAGTTTTTTTTCTTTTAACCGTTAACCGAACCGAAGTTTTCTCTACCGAATTCACCGAACCGAAATTTTTTTCGGTTAATCGGTCGGTTAACCGATTAACCGAACTTTTTAAAGTTAAAATTTAAAATTCTAAAAATAACACCTAAAATAATAAATCCAATTAAAATAAAATACATATTATAATAAATTCATAACAAAATATACAAAAACATTAATTATAAACTCCAAACATCCATAACTTCAAATTAGTATTTATATTTATATTATTATTTATATATATATTACAAACTTCGGTTAACCGTTCGGTTAATTCGGTTAACCGACCTTTCGAACCGAATTAACCGTTAACCGAAGTTTTAAAATTTCTTTAACCATTAACCGAACCGAAAAAGTTCGGTTCGAAAACGGTTAACCGAAATTTGTCGGTTCGGTCGGTTAACCGAAAATTATCCGAAGTTTGCACACCCCTACCCACCGTAGCTTTATATCTGCTTTGAGCTAATGATATTATGAGTTTATTTGCCTTCAAAAAAAAAAAAAAAAAAAAAAAAAACCCAATAGGGTAGTTCAAGTGGCAAATGAACTCTCTTTGTGGGGGAGAATTTCGGGATAACCCGGGTTCGATTGACACAAGTGACGATTTCCTTTGAGCCAGCTTCTGTGCCTCTCGAAGCGTACCAAGTGGACCTGCCCACCCGGGTTCGATTGTCACAAGTGACGATTCCCTTTGAGCCAGCTTCTGTACCAGGTGGACCTGACCACCCGGGTTCGATTGTCACAAGTGTGCCTCTCGGAGCGAACCAGGTGGACCTGACCACAGAAAAAAGAAGTTGGTTGGTTACTGCCAGACGGAATAGTTAATATATGAGTGAATACCCAAAATGGTCCCTCGGCTATAGTTAAATTCACAAATTGATCATCGACTTTCAATTTCAACCAAATTTGGTCCTCTGTCTATTTGTCTGTGATTTTTGAGGATATATATGTAATTTCATGGTTCAACGTCGATTTTTTAAAGTTCCGGTTGCATTTCCAGACCGCACTGTTACATTTGAGGATATATATGTAATTTCATGATCCAATGTCGGTTTTTTAAAGTTCCGGTTGCATTTCCAGACCGCACTGTTATATTCGAATCCACTGTCGAAAGCAATCTACCAAATTCGGTTGCCTTTATTCATCCTCCCTTTGGATTCAATGTAGTTGAGTTCGTACCAGAGCGAAGAAGACGACGTGTTTCCGAACCGGTGCAACGTCATCCTGGAGGCCTCCACGTGCTCTGACGAGAGCTGAAGGTTCTTCTGAAGATCGTCGATCACGGTCAACAAACGGTCAAATAGATGGAGGACTAAATCGTGTCAAAATTGCAAAGTTAAGAACTTAATTGGTTAAAATTGAAAGTCAAGGACCAATTTGTGAATTTAACTATAGTCGATGGACTATTTTGGGTATTTACTCTTAATATATAACGTGGGTGATGTGTATAAAAAGGGGAGTATGTGAGGAGTTTCAACACCACTTACTACTTGAGAACAACAGAAATCCATAGAAATTAAAAAAGAAGAGAGAGAGAGAGAGAGAGAGAGAATTGAAGATGAGTGGCATTGGTGAAAGATGGAGGGTTCTAAGTGGGAGTGATAACTGGGAAGGGCTACTGGAGCCTTTGGATTCGGATCTCCGCCGTTACCTCATTCACTACGGAACCATGGTTGCACCCGCAAGCAATTCTTTCATAGACGAACCAGCTTCCAAATATGTGGGATTATCACGATATGCCAGGAAAAACCTCCTTGCCAAGTGTGGAGTAGCCAAGGGAAACCCTTTCAAGTATTGCATTCTATTTAATTTCTTTCTTCGTTCTATCATTCACTTCCATCATATCACCCTTCTTATCAGTGTTGCAAAAACCCCGCGTATGTACCAATTAATCCGCACATAAACATTGGCCGGACACCTAACTTATCACCATAATTGGTGGTTTAGGCGGCTGCCTAGGCCCTGACCGCCTAGGCTTCCTAGGCTCTGACTAAGCCTCCTGGGCACGGATTAGGCCGCCTAGTCGGCTGATTAGCTATTGTTTCATTCTTTTTTAAATGAATTATTTTCCTCAAAACGGTACATGGTTTTGAGCGAAATAACCCTGGGTTAATATTTAATATTTTATTATTAATTATTAAAGTATTAAATAGTTTATAATGAACAAGTCTTAAAATTACAATTAATTTTTTTAAAAAAATTTTAAAAAATAAAAAATACACTGCACCTAGGCATTGATTAATCGCCGCTGCCTGGGCGCCCCCGAGCGTCCGAGGAGCGTCTAGTGATTGTTATATATATATATATATATATATATATATATATATATATATATATATATATATATATATGCCTTACTAGTGTATGTGTATCATTGCATGTATGTTTGTGCATGCAGATATGAAGTGACCAAATACTTTTATGCAACATCTGGATTCCCAATCGGAGCTAGGACAGGGTACACTGTGAGCCCAGCCCGAGTGGATGCAGTGCTAAGGGAATCAAACTGGAATGGATATATTGCTGTGGCCACGGATGAGGGAAAAGTTGCTTTAGGACGAAGAGATATTTTGGTTGTTTGGAGGGGAACACGCCGATTCTTAGAGGCCATTACTGATATCACATTGGTTTTTGTTAATGCGCCATTAATCTTTGGCCAAAACTCTCATCCTCTGGTGCATAAGGGCTTTTACGATATGTATACCACCACCATTCAAGATTCTCAACTCAATAGAATGAGTGCCAGAGATCAGGTATATATATATGTATAATTATTTTATATATATTGATAACACCCCTAGCTAGCTTCCGTTTTATTTTTTTATTTTTTTTTTCAATTTGTATTGTATAGTAGAAGAGTTAATTTCACGTGGTCATACGATTTTTAAGGTTCTATCACTTTTGGTGCACAACTTTAAAATTTATCAATTCTAGTGCCTAATAACTTTGTTACTTTTAACATTTTTTGTCCGTTCGGCCAAATTGACAATGAATTGTTGCCGGATTTTATATCTTTAGGGGGGTAAAATCGCCATTCCAAATAAACATATTCAATATCTAAACAAAATCACTGTAAAATCATATCTATAAGTGTTTGAGCGATGAGAATAATGAGGAAGAAGACAAGCAGAAGTTAGACACAGATCTATGGATTTATAGCGTCGACGATAGGCAAACCCTTCTTTTTATCTTAATTTGATTTTTATTTTGTTTATATATTGAAGATCTTTTCTTGGAATGACGATTTTGCCCCTAAAATATAAAATCTGGCAACGTTTCGCTGTCAATTTGGCCGGAAGGACCAAAACTGATAAAAATAAAATTTAAAGTTGTGCACCAAAAGTGATAATCTCAAAAGCCGTAAGACTAAAAGTGAAACTAATTATATTGTATAGAATTTGTCTTGACTTGCTTTTGTTATATATATATATATATATATAGATTCGTGAAGAAGTTGCAAGACTTGTTGAGTTATACAAGGACGAGGACATCAGCATAACCGTGGCAGGGCACAGCTTGGGTGCATCCATGGCAACACTAAACGCAGTAGACCTGGCTGCCAATCCAATCAACCATAATAAACATGTCCCAGTCACTGCTTTCTTGTATGCAAGCCTCAAAGTAGGGGATGAGAATTTTAAAAACGCCTTCTCTAATCAACAAAAAAACCTTCGAGCCTTGCGAATCTCCGACGCCAATGATCCTTTTCCAAAATTTCCCGAGTCTGCACCCATGGAGGGTAAGATAAACCCAAAAATACCTTACGTAGATGTGGGGGTGGGTTTGGTGATTGAATCTAAGAAATCCCACTATTTGAAGGATCTTGAGGGCCTCTCCTATCATGACTTGATGCTTTATATGCATGGAATTGATGGATACCAAGGGTCTCGAGGAGGGTTTGAGCGTCAGGGTGACTTTGATCTTGCCAGGGTTAATAGGTATCAGGGTGCATTGAAAGACGAGTATCGTATACCCACAGAATGGTTTAACATAAAGGATAAAGGAATGGTTCAGCAGGACGACGGGAATTATATCCTTGACGATCATGAAGTGGACGAGGACGAGACATTTTAAACAGAATGCAATATGTGTGTTTGAATAAAGCTAAGTCTTCGATCTCTAGCTTCATGAAGACCTTAATTAATTTCTATAATTATTCAGTGTGTTTTGAATAAAATTGGAGCTGAGGCAACTAGCCGCTTGTGGCTTGCTGTCTAGTCCAATGCATGTGTGTGCGAGATTTGTTTGCGAGCTTGTATTTCAATTATTATGTTTCAATCATCTCTTTTCTGCAATATATATAATATAATCAGGCTCAGTCCTATTATTTTATAGGTTCCGAGCATAATAATAAAAGTGGATCCTACATGAAATTAATTATTATTTTATAACTAAAATTTAAATTAAATAAATAAAAAATACTAATGTCAAATGACTTGAAATAAATTTCAATTTTTTTAAATAATTTACATACACATGAAAATAATTCTAGATGTTTTCCTAAATCCATCAATGCCTTCATAAATAAATAATTACAGTTTATAAAAACGAATAAATAATTTAAAACTAAATAAGCTTATAACAATCACATTATTATTATAATAAGACTATGTTGGGCAAATCTAGCTGATAAGGTAGCTGAAAGCTGATGAAAAGCTATAAGCTAGAAGCTGAAAACTAAAGAGTTGTTAAACTAGCTAATTATGCTTAAAAGTCTTTGGTAAAATTAGTTTTTTGATAGGTTGATAAATGTAAAAAAAGACTAAAAATGACATCTTCATAAAATTTAAATAGTTTTAAAGTTAAATAGGTTTTAAGCATATTAAAATTTAGCATTTTGAAATGAAACTATATATTAGCATAATCATGATCTAGCATCTCATAATGAAGTAGCAATATTATTGTGAATCTCCTTCATCTCAATAGAGGTCTCACTTAAATTTTCGTTGATTGAGATATTACTGGCCGGTGAAGAGTTGTAACTTTAAGGAGTTGGTGGGCAATGAAGAGTTGAGGAAGATGATGAAAAAAAATATTGGAGAAGTGAAAAGGCCAAAAGGGTTATAATTGGGAGGATAAATGATGTCATTTATTTAAAATAATAAGGATAAAGATGAAAAAAAAAGTTAGAAAACTATTAGCTTATTTTTAAAACGCTACCTTTCAAAATAAGCTCGTATTTTAAGGTACTAGCTTATTTTGGAAACATTACCAAACATACCTTATAACTTATAGTTTAAATAGTTTAAAATAAGAGTAAATACCCTCAATGGTCCTCCGAGTATTAGCGATTTACCAACTGTGGTCATTCGAGTTTTAAATGACCTCCAATGGTCCTCCATGTTTTAAAAAATAATCACTTGTGGTCCATTTAGGACGTCACGTGGTCATTTTAAACTCGGATTTTTTTAAGAATTAGGACCACGGGTGGTTATTTTTTAAAACATAGAGGACCGTACCATTGGAGGTCATTTAAAACTCGGATGACCACAGCTGGTAAATCGTTAATACTCGGGGGACCATCGGAGGTATTAACTCTTTAAAATAATAACCTATAAGTAGGGACGGAGCCAGGAATTCCATTGAGGTGGGGGCGAAGAAGCAGGGACGGATCCAGAAATTTTTTCCAGTGAAGGCGAAACGTTAAAACAAAAGAGATAATTTGAAAAAAAAAATATCTAAGAAATATAGGTATAAATATTGTTGGATATGCGCAGAAAATAAAACCCATCTAAACTATATAAAAATATTTATAACAAAATATGAAACATAATTAATTTGATAAAATAATTTGAATAAAAAAACACATTATAAATTATGCATCTCATTATTAATATAAAAGAATGTTATATGTGTGTGTATTAAATATTAAAAACAAAAAACTATTAAAAACGTGATTGTGTTGAAGCCAAAAAAACTATGAAAATGTGTTTATGCAAAAATTTGAACCCATTACCTTCATTATAACCAAACACATGCTTTGCATAACTAATCTAACTCAATACTTGTTAATATCTTTCTGTTTTTTATACTAATACTAAAAATTGTACTATATATACATATATACATAGTACTATTAAAGTGGGCCGAAGCCCGCGGGTTGGTCCGCACACGCCCCACAGTGGGACGGGTTAGAGTCATGGAAAAGCAAGCCCGTGAACATGCGGGCCTAACGGGGCGAGCCAAAATTAACCTGCAACCCGCGCGGGCTAACCCACGCGGACTGCGAGCCAACCCGCGAGCTAGACCTATTATAAAAAAATAAATAAATAAATATACGTTACACAACAAGGCAGAATTTTGCCTTGCTGTGTAACATCATATATATAATTATATATATAAAATTCTGCCTTACTGTGTAACGTGTGTGTGTGTGTGTGTGTATGTGTGTGTGTGTGTGTGTGTGTGTGAGATTAATATTTTTAAAATATTAATTTAAAAAATTTTTAAACACTAAAAAAAAATTTGCGGGCCGGCCCGCGTAGCTGGCCAACTCGCGCGGGGCGGGTTAGGGTTGCACGAACCCTAGCCCGCGGGCCGGCCCACAAAAGCCTGCGGTGGGGCGGGCCGGCCCGTTTTGAATACATACAAAGGTTATATATTGGGTGGGGGTGGGGTGAGGGGGGCAGCTGCCTCTTCTGGCTTCGTCCATGCCTATACTATAAGCTTCTAAATAAGCTCTGTCAAATTGAACCTAAATAATAAAGTAATTATTAATAAAAATTTATAAAACAAAACTTACAAATAAGAGCATAACATGAAATCTTAATTATTGGAAGCAATAAACCAAAAACACTGTAAACATGATAAAAGATATTCATAATAAAATATGAAACATAATTAATTGGATAAAATAATTTGAATAGAAAACAGATTATAAATCACACATCTTCTATATTGATATTATATTTATAAATACTTTTTCTTTTCGTTAGATTAATTTCAGGTTTTTTTTTTTTTAGATTAGTTTGAATACGATGACGCACAATAGAATTTCTAAATACGATTTCGTCCTCTTTACCATCTCCGAAGTCGGTTTGTCAGAGCTTGTAGGCGCGGTGGGTTGTATGGCGATCCATCAACCAGCTACGGCTTCCCTCATCAGCTACACCACCGTCCGCTACTTTTATCCCTCCACCACATCAATTAGCCTTCACCGGTAGGTTTGGTTTTGTGGATGCAGGTATTTACGCTCATAGTGGCTCGGCGACATTCGGGTTCTTGTTATAGAATGGCGACAACTCCTTTGAAGTAGTGATGAATGGACCCCTGAGTTGCCCCAACAATTCGTTATTGGCCAAAGCGATGGCAGTCCAAGAGGCGTTGTCTTGGCCAAAAGAGCAAGGTTTTACAGACGTAGTCTTATATTCTGATTGTCAGACCCTCTGCTCGAGTTTCCATCAATGCATTAATTTTCGTTCGTATGTTGGCCATGTTATTCATTCTTGTTTACAGCTAGTTAGTTTGATTCCCAATTGTTATGATAGCTTTATTAGCAGGGATGCCAATCGGGTAGCCCATTGTTTAGCTAAAGAGGAGGGTGCTTTAACCGCTCACTCTGTCTGGAGAGGTTCTCCACCTGCTTGTCTGAACCGTTTTGCTGAGTTAATATAATGGCTTTCTTGGCTTTCAAAAAAAAAAGAAAAAAAAAAACTACATTGAGTAGATAATTCATTAAAAAAAAAAACTATGTTTTTAAAATGTGAATGTAGGGAAGGGATCATGTGCGGGAGAGGGCTTCCCGTGCGGTTGGACTCACAGTAAGCATTAAACTGACGCAATTTAAGTACACAACACACGCACATTAAGCACACAAATAAAATACCTTTAGAACACAAACACACGCATCTTAAGCACAAAACTCACGCATCTTAAGCACAAAACTCACGCATCTTACGCACAACCCTCACGCACCTAAAGCACAAAACTCATGCACCTTAAGTACAAAAGCACACGCATCTTAAGTTTCAACAACTACTCACATTAAGCACAAGACTCACGCACCTTAAGCACAAGACTCACACACCTTTAGTACAAAACTCATGCACCTTAAGCACAAAACTCATGCACCTTAAGTTTCAACAACTACTCACATTAAGTACACACCCACGCACCTTAAGTACAAAACTCACGCACCTTAAACACAAGTCTCACGCACCTTAAGTACAAAACACACGCACATTACTCACCGCACAACTGCACGGGAAACATGCACCCACACTGGAACTTAATTCTGTGAATGTATATTATCAATTTATTATTCCATGGACCATGATCCACGTGGATTGTCAAACTTTCACATGAAGAATTTATTCAAATTTTGGAGGCTACAATTTTCAAGGGATAGTATGTTAGATCCACATACGAGCAACGGTCAAAATTATTTAAATTATTTGACAAGCGGTGGAAAGACTACTACCTAATATTGCAGATCAAGTTGACACTTTTTGATCAATTACATACGAAGATGGACGATCAAGATCGAAAGTTGATCAACGGGCAAATAGCTTACATTGGCTTTAAATTGTCCAAGCAGACTTGAAGGCCATCACCAATTTTACAAGAACGAAGTTTCCCAACGCAAATACGAATGAGAGAAAAAGAAAACAATACACAAATTAGCCAAAAAGGGGGATCTAAGCTTCATTAGAAATAAATTATTTAAGTCTGAGAGAGAAATACTTTATTTAATTTCTTAGTAACTTGTGAGGGTGGAGTAACAACGGGAGTGTGAAAATCCCGTGAGAACGTAGCTTTGTGTGTAGTTCTCGTGGTGTAGGAGTACAGCTTGGTGTGAAGTACTCGGGAAGCCGCGCTACAAGAAATAAGACATTTAGTGACAAATCTTTTGTAACACTTCATAATTTAGCCACAAATAATACTCTTTTTGTGACTAAAAAAATAATTCGACACTATTGTGTGGAGTAATTGTGATAACTTTTTTTTTTTTTTTTTTTTGTCACAGATAATATAGTAATTGTGACAAGTATATATTTGTTACGAATAAGTTGTCACTATTACTAGAATAATAGTGTCGTAACATGCGTTGTCACTATTTGTTGTCACTAAATATATGTTTATTTTGGTGGCATTATAATTATGGCGGGAACGACTGTAATTGTGACAAAGTATAATGTGGACACCAATTTTTTGTACTTTTTGTGACAAATAGTTGTTGGTCACTCTTGTTGATAATATTCGTGACTACCTTTTTTGTCAATAAAAATACAATTGGTTAGTACGATTAGAAATGAGAAATAAATGTGAGAAAAAATATGAGT